ACAGCTGTTACTTTAATTGAGTCCAGAGAAAAATATAGATATCTACACCATGTATTGTCTACAAAACTTTTCGGGTATTCACTTAAGGCCAAATACTGCAGTTACAGCTCCCTCTTAAGTAAAGGAGGGGATTCGAGGGAGTTATGCTTGCAAAAGAACTGCAGAACATAAAATATTTGGATTTTGTTCCATATATTCCAGAACCAGTAAAGAAAGTGATGACACAACGTTCTCCAAATAGGCAGTTCTAAAGGTGATGGCTCCATCTTCCATTATGATGCTATTTACATTTGTGTTTATCATTGTACTGTGCTACAGTGTAAACAATCTTTAAATTATAAATATTCAAAGTCACTTTCTAACATAGCACAATTTTTTTTCAGCACACAGTGTCACCATTTTAACATATCATTTAGTCAAAACTAGAATTAAGAAGGAGATTTATAGGACTGCTTAATTCTTGTTATATCATCATACAAATCCACTCTGAAAACAAAGTTTAATTAAAACTTTTCCATAAACATATTATGAAGTTTGTGGTTATTCCAGAATATAACTTGCCAGTAAATATAAATATTTATAATCAAATAACCATTTAATCAGTTTCATTAGAATATTTATCTTTTCAACCTTTTGTGAAATCAACATTTTCCAAAATGTGTTGTTTTGTTCAATCAGTAACTGTTCAAAAAGTAACTGAATTAGCGGTACAAGGCTATGTCTACACTAGAGACCTTACAGTGGCACAGATGTACCGACACAGCTGCGCCACTGTAAGATCTCCTGTATAGTTATTCTATAACAGTAGTTCTCAAACTTTTGAACTGGTGACCCCTTTCATACAGCAAGCCTTTGAGTGAGACCCCCCCCTTTATAAATTAAAAACACTTTTTTTATATTTAACACTATTATAAATGCTGGAGGTGAAGTGGGGTTTGGGGTGGAGGTTGACAGCTCGCAACCCCCATGTAATTACCTCGTAACCCCCTGAGGGATCATGATGCCCAGTTTGAGAACCCCTGCTCTGTAAGAACTGACAGGTATTTGTTTTATAAAAACATTTTTTTAGGCTAGAGAAATATTTCTATTAATCCTTAAGTTTTGTCAGAATTCTGCTGTAAACTTCTCTAGCAAATTGCCTGTTTGTTTAAGCTATAAGCTCCACAGAGAGGGGATCACTGGGTAAACACAAAGGAGATGTATGCTCAGTCCTGCTACGCCTAAAGCCTAAGGGGGAGAAACATCCATTACCCCAGTGCCTAGAGCACAGACCAAATGTAGGAAACAAGTTTAATTTCCCACACCGCCTGATTTGGAGCAAGGATTTGAACTTGGGTCTCCCACGTGAATGCACTAACTACTCAGCTATTGGATCGAAGGTGGACACTGCTTCTTCCTTGGCTGTCTTATAAATTATAAAATAAATAAATAAATTAATGGAGATATCCCATCTCCTAGAACTGGAAGGGACCTTCACTAGCAGGACCAAGTACTGATTTTGCCCCAGATCCCTAAGTGGCCCCCTCAAAGATTGAACTCACAACCCTGGGTTTAGCAGGCCAATGTTCAAACCACTGAGCTATCCCTCCCCCCATGAAAATCAACCATGCTCTGAGCACGTTTCCCAGATTGTGCTCCAATGGTGGTGGGGGGGGGGGGGGGGACGGACACCTAGTTTTGAATCATACCAAGGCTTTGGCAAAAGTTAGATGGCATCAAGATTTAGACAGCTTTGCACATTTGCACCAGTAAAAATTTAGATGCCTAGGGAATTTAAGCACTTACAGGGCTAGACAACAGCTGAGCAGGGGCCTAAGGATCTAAATGATGGATTCTGGCGCCTAACGTGGCAGTTAGGCACATAAGTCCTTTTATGGATCCAGTTCCATGTTTTCTTCTATTTTGTACAGTTCCAGACACACTGCTAGGCATCAATCCTGCAAGCTTATTCACACAGGCTGACTTTTTCTTCACACAGAGACAGAGGTCTGCTCATAAAAGTCATCTTCCAGGTTTGTGCTCTTGAAAAAAATCTGTTAATATACATGTAAATATGCTGCCAGTATTGAGTTTAAAGTGTTCATTGAAAACTCAAGTTTTAAAGTTTTCACATAGCGTTGAGATGTAGAAAAAACCTATTTGGGACTGTGAAACACCAACGCAGTTGTACCATTCCTGTTCACTGTGTGAAAGTATACATCCCTATTTTAAGATTAATTTTAAAGATCCATTAACATAACATAGAAAAGCACTTTCACATTTCTCATGTCTTCAATCTAAAAATCTCATACAACTGTACAAAAATTAGCACAGCACTAGAAAAATTTTATTTGCCCCAAAGTTTAGATTCTTTAAATTTTTTTTTTTTTACAGAAACAAAAAGATAGAAATGCTTCCATTAGAAAAAAAAAAAGCAAACTTGAAATCGGTTGTTTTTAAACACAAGATCATTCCCTTGCAATGTCAGCAGTCCAAACATTTAGAGCCCTGCCTGGATACAAAATCTGTATCCGCATCCGATCTGCAAAATGATCCACAGATGTGGATGTCTACGGATATAAAGCAGATATCCGCCGATTTGCAGGACTCTACAAACATTGCAGCACTGGGAACATAAAAGTGAAACTGACTTCACTGATTTTCCTTGTCCAACCTAAGAAAGTTAGAAAAAAACCTTCAAAAATAAAAGTGTAAACTGGATTTCTAAATTATTTCAATGTAGTAATCAAAAAGTATTATTAATGTAAGGAAATAAAGTTGAAATTTGACTGAGTTGACACTGTCCTTTAAATAGAATGCAAGCATTATGACCCTTTTACAGATGTGCAAACTAAGGGCTTGTCTACACTTAAAACGCTGAAGCAGCACAACTACACCACTCAAGTATCAGAGGGGTAGCCGTGTTAGTCTGGATCTGTAAAAAGCGACAAAGAGTCCTGTGGCACCTTATAGACTAACAGAAGTATTGGAGCATAAGCTTTCGTGGGTGAATACAGTATTTCAGTGAAGATGCTACCTACACTGATGGGAGGGATTATCCTGGTGGCATAGATAATGCAGCTCTCTGAGAGCGGTCTTCACAGAGGGTTAGGTAAATTTAACTGCATAGCTCAGGGGTGTGGATTTTTCACATCCCTGAGCGACACATTTATACCAACCTAATTTCCTAGAGTAGGCCAAGCCTTAGGATATGTCTACTCTTAAAACAGTGCAGCCGCGGTTCCGTTCCCGGCCAATGGGAGCTGCTGGGGGCGGTGCCTGAAGCAACAGCCACACACATCCCTCCTTCCCCAGGTTCCGTCAGCTTCCCAGAGCGGCGCCGGGGCAGAGCAGGCAGGGAGCCTGCCCTGCCCCCAACACGTGTCGGGCCAGAGCCTGCCTCCCAAACCCCTCCTGCAGCCGAACCCTCTGCCACACTCCACACCCCTTCTGCACCCCAATCCCCTGCTGCACCCCGACCCACTGCCCCGAGCCCCCGCTGCACCCCGACCCACTGCCCCGAGCCCCCGCTGCACCCCGACCCCCTGCCCCGAGCCCCCTGCTGCACCCCGACCCCCTGCCCCGAGACCCCTCGCTGCACCCCGACCCCCTGCCCCGAGACCCCTGCTGCACCCCGACCCCCTGCCCCGAGACCACTGCCCTGAACCCTGCCACATCCAGCACCCCTCCTGCCCTGAGCCCCCACCACACCCCTCCTGCACCCCCTGGGGGCAGGGAGGGGGCAGAGTTGGGTTCGGGATTTCAAGGAAGAGGTTGGAATGGGGGCATAGAAGGGGTGGGAAGAGGCGGGGCAGGGGCGGAGCAGAGGGCAGCAGGGGGGAGGTGTCAGTAAATGCAGCCCTCAGGCCAGTGTACTAGTCCTCATGTGGCCCTCGTGGTCATTTGAGTTTGAGACCCCTGACCTACACCAACAGGAGAGGTTCTGACATCAGCATAGGTAATCCACCTCTCTGAGAGGCAGTAGCTAAGGCTATGTCTACACTAGCACTTTTGTCAGTATAATTTCTGTTGCTCAGGAGTGTGAAAAAGCCACCCCTCTCAGCAACATAAATTACACCAGCAGACACGCCGGTTTGCACAGCACTGTCAGTGGGAGATGCTTTGCTGTCAGCATAGAGCTGCTACACAGGAGATTTTACAGCAGCACAGCTGTATCAGTACAGCTGTGCTACTGTAAGGTCTAATGCAGACAGAAGAAGGCCTAGGTCAACAGAAGAATTTTTCTACACCAGGGATTAGGACAGTGTTGATTTTTTTCAAACCCCTGAGAGATGTAGCTATACCAGTGTAAACTACTAGTGTAGACCAGGCCTAAAAAGCAGAGTGGGATTAAGTGTTTTGCCCAAATTCACAAGCAGAGCCAGGAAGGGCAAACCAAGTATCCCAATGCCCAGGCCAATGCATTAGGCTGGGGTGGATGTCCCACGGGGGCAGGGCAAGGAAATGGGGGGGGTTAGGAATGGGCGGGGATTAATGACGCCCCCAGGGGAGAAGGCGGCAACAGCGGGCGGTTAGTGGACCCCCGGAGGGAGTCAGTGACCCCGTGGGCCCGGGCAGGCCTCACCCGCACAAAGAACGCGCCTCCCCCAGGGAACAGCACCCGCCCCCTCCTTCCCCACAGCCTGGCTCCGACTCCCCATGACAAAGCCGCTGCCTCCTCAAGACGGGCCGGGCCCCTGGGGCCTGACGCTACCGCTCGGAGCCGGCGCCAGCCGCACGTACTTGCCCTTCTGCTGCAGCAGCTCCCGGAAGTGCCCGGCGGAGCCCACCTCGGCCAGCGCAGCCATGGCTGGAACTAGTCTGTCGCCGGCGCTGCGGCCAGGCGGGGCACGTGCAACCGGTCAGCAGAGCGATCCGCCCTCCCTCAGAGCGAACCCTCTCTGCCTCCGCGCATGCTCCACTAGGCGACCCCACTTCCTCTGCGCATGCGCGGAACGTGCCCCCGTTCCCGTGGGGGAGGGAGGCCCGGAGCGCGGCTGTCCCGGGACGGGGCGGGGCTGAGCCGGGCCGGGCCGGGCTGGCGGCGCGGGTGGGGGGAGGCGCAGGTCAGCAGTTTTCTCGCGGGAACGGTGACGCTGTTGATTTTTACAAAGCGAAAGCGGAGCGCGCACAGGGTTTGCCCAGCAGGAAACGTGCCATCACCCAGCCTGGGTCAGAGCTGGCCAGGGGAGCGGGACTATTGTGTCCAGGTCTGGTCGCCGCGGTTCAGGCAGGATGTGGACAAATTGGGGAAAGTCCGGAGGAGAGGAACCGAAATGATTGAAGGGCTAGACAACATGACCTATGAGGGAAGATTAAAAAATAGGGTTTCTTTAGTTTGGAGAAGAGAAGACTGAGAGGGGACACGATGACAGTTTTCAAATACGTAAAAGGGTCTTACAAAGAGGAGGGTGAAAAATTATTCTCCGTAACATTTGAGGATAGAACAAGAAGCAATGAGCATAAATTTCAAGGAAGTTTTAGGTTCATTATCATAGAATATCAGGGTTGGAAGGGACCTCAGGAGGTCATCTAGTCCAACCCCCTGCTCAAAGTAGGCCCAATCCCAGACAGATTTTTGCCCCAGGTCCCTAAATGGCCCCCTCAAGGATTGAACTCACAACCCTGGGTTTCGCAGGCCAATGCTGTTGGACATTAGAAAAAAACTTCTTAACGGTCAGGGTAATTAAACACGGGAACAAATTGCTGAGGAAGGTTGTGGAATCTCCATCACTGGAGGTTTTCTTTAAGAACAGGTTAGCTAAACACCAGTCAGGAATGGTCTAGGGCAGGGGACTGGACTAAATTACCTATTGAGGTCCCTTTCTGTCCTACTCTTCTATGATCCAGCACTATTCCCTGCCCCTCATTGTCATCATCTCTCCCGCTCTCTCCAAAACATACATCTCAATCTACCATCCGAAGAAGTAAGACTCAGTCATGTACGGTACATACGGGATCCTTCTATACAGGGAAATATTCACCTCTCAGATTCCAGATGTTGGGGAAAGATTCCCGTTTGTCCTGCTTGAGGTCATAAGATCTCTCAAATATATGTTAAGAATGAATTGATCCACTGGTCTACATGAAGTTGTGTAGGATATTTCCAATAATGACATTATTTTAATGCCTCAGGTTTCACAGCCACATTTCTGGAGCTGTGTGCAAACCTGCAGCACAGAGGCACCAAAATGAGAACTGTATGGACAGTGGAGAAGCAAATGGCAATCACTCTGGAAGCTTGCAATGGCAGATTGTTATTGGCCACTGGACTATCAGTTTGGAGTTGGAAAATCCATAGATTGTCATCCAAGTGCGTAAGGCCATGACACATCTCCTGCTATGCTGGACTGTGACTCTTGGCAATGTGCAAGAAATAGTGGCTAGATTTGCAGCAAGGGGCTCCTTGACTGCAGTGCAGTGATAGATGGCACACATACCCCTATTCTGGCACCAGCCCACCTTGCCACTGAGTACATCAGCAGAAAGGGATACTTTCCAAGGTTATGCAAGTGTATTGTTCACTGGGGACACTTCACTCATATGGAGGTGGGCCACTCAGGGAAGGTGAATGATGCTTGCATCTTTAAGAAACACAGGACTTTTCAAAAAGCTGCAAGCAGGAACATTCTTCCACAGCCAGCAGATTACCATTGGTGATGTTGAAATGCCAATAGTGATTCTGGGGGATGCAGCCTACTCCTTGCTCCCTTGGCTCATGCAGCTGTACACTGGTCACCTTGATGGTGCCAAGGAAAGATTCAACTACTGGCTCATCAGGTGCAGAACGACTACTCAATGTGCTTTTGGTAGACTGAAGGGATGCTGGCAGTGTTACTCACTAGATTGGCTCTCAGTGAGAAAAATATCCCCAAGGTTATAGCTGCTTGTTGTGTACTGGATCATATACATGAAACAAAGGGGAAAAGCTGTTTCCAGGGCAGAGGGGCAAGGTGGACCAGCTGTCTGATGAAATTGAACAGCCACACGCAAGGGCTATTGAACAGCCATGCACGAGGGCTGTGGAGCTTTGCTGCTGAGGTAGGTCTTAAATGACCATTGTAAGAGTCAGCCACAGGAGTATGGTCGATTAAGTATGCGTGGGTTTTTGCCTCCCACTACGAATTCTGTAATGCTTGGTGTAAAGTCATAAATATGTGTGGATCTTTACTTCCACCTATGAATTCGGTAATGCTTGCTGAAAACTAATATAGATGCTCAGCGTATCCAAAAACAGAACTTTATTATGTGCAAAGAAACAGAAAATAAAATGAAAGTGCAAACAAACATATACAAGGTTAAAAAACTTTTACCAACACTATACAGAGTAAATTATAAAATCCTAACTGAAAATGGAAGTAAATAGTGAACATTTATGACCATGTATATAAAAGCTACAACAGTTTAGTAGATTACATATACACCAACCTGTGTTTTTTTTCAAATCGGTACACGTGTAGGTATTATTCTCTGTTGTTCAGCATGGAAAGGTAGGGGTAAGGAGGTACATCATGGTGCCTCATGTGGAATGTTGGGGGATATAGGGAGAGCAACCATGGAATTCTCCAAGGACTGGAAAGTTTGCTGAGTTTGGGCATGTATGTCAATAATACTCTGCAACATTTGAGTTTATTCCCTGAGCAAAGCCATTATGTCCTGGCATATTTCCTGATGCATCTCGGTCCTTATGCCTCTCCTGCAGAAACCATTCTCTCCATTCTTGGTCCTTCTCCATGGTCATGTTCAGATGGGCTCTCCAAGCACTGCACTTATAGTCTGAAGCTGTAAAGAATTGGAGGATCTTGCAGAACATATCCTCCCTAAACCTCTTATTTCTCCTCCTGATCAGGGTCAGATGTTGAGCAGGCATGGAGAGGGCACCCGACAAGACCATCATGCCAGAAGCTGTTGATTAAAATATACAGATGCACCATTAGCTTTACAATCACAACAATCAAGGAAAGATAAGTCTCAAAACTCCCGTACATTATTCCCATAAATAGGAAATGCTTATTGACACTTTAGCTTTGGAGCACCTCACTACAGCACCACTCTGCAGCTCAAATCATGGTGAGTATGGCCTAGTGGGGAGGAATGGGGGCGTTCTGTTCCATGAAAGCTATAAACGTTGGGTGCCACTCCCTGGGTATGGGCATAAAACAAGTGTAATGAATACTGGCATTGTTTTCGCAGGCAATGGTGATTTTGGATGATATCTCACTCCTGGGGGTGACAAAGTCATAAAGGACCCAGCTGCTACTGGTGTCCAAGCCACCTGTGGCCATATACTGCTAACTTGTTTACTGACATGGTGCCAGGCAAACTCATCGTAGAGTGGTATGGGAAATCTCCAATTGCCGTGAAAGAAACAAGGCTGCCATCCCTAGAAATCTTCAGGAGAGGATTGCACAGTATCTCTATGAAAGTTTCATTGAGATCTCTCAAGAGGATAAAATGGACTTCTCTGTTCAGATAAATAAAGTACTCCACATGCCCTTGCCGAGCCCAGCAAGCCAAGTAAGTGAATAACAGATGCTGATTCTACCACTGTTTGTTCTACCTCTGACCAACCACAGGACACTAGGCTGATGTGGATTGTGTAATCAGACCACCACTCTGTTTTAATTTATTCCCTAATATTTTATTTTGTAGCATTAGATCTGTAGAGCAACGAAAACTCAATATGTTTGTTTTCTAAAATTATAGGTGGGGTGTGTGCTATTTTTAAATGGGGAGGAAAGATGGTGGGAGGGAGGGAGATGTGGTTTCATGAAAATGGGAAAAAACACATTATAAGGAATATTGCATGTACACACTTACTCAAGTGCCTTTCCCCTACATCAGCGGGCTCATCACCACTCTCCTGTCAGGATTTCAGCTCTTTTATGGATTTTTTTTAAAGGGGAAAAAAGGGCATTCGACTGTGTAGAGTGGCCTGGGACACAATTAAGACCTTTATAAGACCAAAATACACCATCCAAGAAACAAATCTGTTTATTAATGGTAAAATATGTCTTTCCCTTTTAATCAAATGGAACCTGACAAAGAGACTCTCTGTCCCCACAACTATTTTATCTAGTAATTGGGCCATTTGTGGAAACTATGACATGTTTCAAATTACTGGAAATGAATATGAGTTAGCAGTGAGATTATAAAATGGCATTGTAGTCCAATGAACTCTTGGTGTTTACTATACAATCAAGTCCCTCATTCCCCAGTACAACTATCATTTGGCTAGTGTTCAGTTTACATACTGAATTTAAACAAATCTGTGGAAGATTTCAACCTGAAATAGTGGCCCAATTTAAATCCCCCCAAGATGGAATAAATATTTGAGGGCTAAAGTGATCTTAAACCTAATTCAAAAACTGGAAATTAATCCCATGCTGTTAAATTTTAGGAATGAATCTCCCCATAACAGTTATAGGAAGGCTGTTGCTTCTCAAAATAAATATCCTCCCTAATCTCCTATGTCAACCACAACTGTTTCAGAGAATTTAAAACCTCATTCTTTAATAAGCTTCACAAGACCTTTTCAAGGTTCATTTGGTAGGCAAAAAACAAGAATTGCTGTTAAAAATGTATAGGCCCATTGAGACATGGGAGAACTAAATCTCCCTAACTTAGGCTATATTTCTGGGCATCCCATATGGAGTGTTTGGCAGCATGATCCCAGGGAAACCCAGGACTTCAATGGCTCCAGATTGAACAACAGGCAGCAGGCCAAATTAATCTGGCAAACCTCCCATCGTTCCCAGCTGATCTACTACTCCCCTCAAGTCACACAGAACCCAATTACAGAGTCAGTATCAAACTCAGAGATAAAAAAATTAAAGATGCAAAATCTCTTAAAATAGGTAGTTACTCTGGACTGTGTTACTAATTTTTCTCTGAGCATGAATAACTAAGTCTACAAAGAATTGTATATTGCAAACATTTACTAATAATGATATTATAGTGTCCTTTGAAGCACTGAAACATATTCCTGACAGACACAGGTTTTATTTTATTATATTCAAGCTAGGAATTCCCATTAAAAATGAACACAATTAGACAGAATCCTAGTTTTATACACAGCAAGGAATCATGATTTTTATGTGGATCAGGTAAATACAATGTATTTCTTTGGCTATTAGGTCTTGAAACCACTTCCCTGACACAACCCCAGACAAAGACATAACAATGGACAGAGGTACATGTAATTCCAGTTCACTGAGGAGAAGAAATAAAAATCCTGGGAGAAATTCATAATGTTATGGTTAACAATAACTCAAGGCAGATACAATGTTATATTGTACACAGAAATATTATTTCTCAGTACTTGTATGATAAAATATGTAAAATTAAACTATATAGATGTAAGAAGGGCTCCTACGTAACTCCACTTTTTTTTTAACTCTATCATGTTACTTCCTGTTCCAATTCTGGTAAATTATATGCAGCACTAATAGGAACATATTCATGGTCTTACTCCAAAACAGTGTTTATTAAGCATTAATCTGGGAACTCATTTATACAAACCTATTAAAAACACTATTTTTGTTAACGTTTTCACACACACACAAAAGACATCTTGATTTTCTGAACTAGTGAGACTACCTAACTGTACAAACCTGGATCACTCTCATTACAAAATAGTAATCAGCTATCACAGGGCGAAAAGAGTACACACTTTCAAAGACAAACGAGTACTTCTTTATAAAAAATGCTGACTTTTATTGGCAACTTTATTTCCTTGACTTAGGGTCTTGACCTTATAGGATACACAATGAGGAGGTGATGAGCATGTAAGGAGCCTTCCCCTCTTGCAAGATCCTCCAGGCAGAATTGTAGTCAGGGGAGTCCATGGGCTGTTCCCTCATTACTTCCCAAAGGAAACCTGATACCCCAAAAGAGGCAGAGATGGGTAGAAACGGGGGTGAGACCATGGTCCTGCCCCCTCTCCACAGCGACCCCAGGATCAGGAACAGTACACAGAATGCTACACAGAGGTTGGTAGCAGGGAGCACTCCCCCAATGTGCTGGGGAATGAACTTGAGGAGGAGGAAAAGGAGAGATGGTGCTGATGGGAGAGGTTAGTGACATGATGGGGATGATGGGCAAAGAGGGTAATCCTAGAAAGCACACTATAAATGGACTGGGGGCGGGGTCCATGTGGATGTCAGAGGGGCCAGGGAGAAGACAATGGCAACAGTCAAAATGGAGAAGACAACAGAGTGAAGAAATCTTTGTTGACAGAGGCTATGGAGGAAGAAAGCCATATTTTGACACAGCCTGGAAGTTCAAGGTGAGAGAAAGGGAAGTATCAAAGAGAATATTTGGGTGTGGGTAGAAGCATGGGTTTTGGTGACTGGGAAATGGTTTTGCAGTGCACATTGACAGAAAAAGAGAAGAGCAGGAAGATTCTGGAAGGGAAAGCAGGATTTCAGCTTTAGACATACCAGATGAAATCCTGACCCTATTAATGTCAATGGGAATGGGGAGTCAATTCCCACTGACTTCACTGAGGTCAGGATTTCACCCATTAAGTTGAAGTTCCTGACAACGCATACAGATGAGATGTCAGAGAGACAAGTGAAGAGGCAGGGTTGGGTGGAAGGAGACAAACCAGAAGCAGAGAAGTAGTTTTGTAAGGGCATGGCTACACTTGCAAATGTAGAGTGCTTTGAGTTAAACCAGCCTTCGTAGAGCGCAGTAGGGAAAGCACTGCAATCTGTCCCCACTGACAGCTGCAAGCGCACTGGTGCGGCCACATTTGCAGCACTTGCAACGGCATTGTGAGCAGTGTATTATGGGCAGCTATCCCACAGAGCACCTCTTCCCATTCTGGTGCTGTGGCTTGTGGGAAGGGGACAGGGAGGGCGGGGCATTCTAGGTCCTGTCCCAACACCCTGTGATGCATCGGTTCACATCCCAGGAATCCCTGTGCTTCCGTCCACATTTGGCTCCATCTTTCAATGTTTTTTGTACTGCGCGTTCTGTCTTCCCTTTCAGTCTGCGGGAATGGAGCCTGAACTGCTGAGGAATATGCTGACAAGTCTCGCCAGCACGTCACGTCTGGCAGTCAAGTTACTCCTTAAGATCCAAACTGACAGTGAGGACTCCAATGATGATATCTACTCATCGTCCTGCAAGTCTGGGATGACGAGCAGTGGCTGCAGGACTTTCGGATGAGAAAAGCCACTTTCATGGGACTGTGTGAGGAGCTTGCCCCCATCCTGCGACACAAGGACATGAGATTGAGAGCTGCCCTGCCGGTGGAGAAGTGCGTGGCTATTGCAATCTAGAAGCTGGCAACTCCAGACAGCTACCGATCGGTCGCTAACTAGTTTGGAGTGGGAAAGTCGACCGTTGGAATCGTGTTGATGCAAGTTTGCAGGGCCATCAATCGCATCCTGCTCAGAAGAACCGTGACTCTGGGTAACGTGCATGACATTGTGGCTGGCTTTGCACAAATGGGTTTCCCTAACTGCGGAGGGGCGATAGATGGGATGCATATTCCAATTCTGGCACTAGCCCACCTAGCCTTTGAGTACATTAATCGGAAGGGGTATTTCTCTATGGTTCTCCAGGCGCTTGTGGATCACCATGGGCGTTTCATTGACATTAACGCAGGCTGGCCCAGAAAGGTGCATGACGCACACATCTTTCGGAACACTGGCCTGTTGAGGAAGCTGCAAGCTGGGACATTTTCCCCAGATGAGATGATCACCATAGGGGAAGTCAAAATGCCCATTGTGATCCTTAGAGACCCCACTTACCCTTTAATGCCATGGCTCATGAAACCCTACACAGGGAGCCTTGACAGCAGCAAGGAGTGGTTCAACAACTGGCCGAGCCAGTACAGAATGACTGTGGACTGTGCTTTTGGCTGTTTAAAGGGATGCTGGCGCTCTCTGTATGGGAAGCTGGATCTGGCCGATGACAACATCCCCACGGTTATATCCGTGTGCTGTACCCTCCATAACATTTGTGAAGGGAAGGGTGAAAGATTCATTCAGGCATGGAACTCGGAGGTTCAACACCTGGAGGCTGAATTTGAACAGCCAGAGAGCAGGGCTATTAGAGGGGCCCAGCACAGGGCTGAAAGGATTAGGGATGCCTTGAGGGAGCAATCTGTGGCTGAAAGCCACCAGTAATGTCTGGTGCCCGGCACGGGAGTGAAGTGCAGTGGTTCCAATGTTAGTAGGAATCTATGTTTGCTACGCTGACTTGCAGTGCCCGTTGCTTTCCTGGGCTAAGGTATCTTTTACTTTATGAATAATAAAGAATGTTTTCAAAGCCAAAAAATCCATTTATTGAAAAGAAACACAACTGCTGGGAAACAGAAAGGGCAAGGCGGAGGGGTGGGGAACGGTACAATCACAGATTTGCGTATGTCCTATTCTCATACTCAGCCTTCCTCTCTGGAGTGCTGTGCAATGAGTGCTGCACTTCAGGATGGCTATAATGAATGATGATGTGGGTTGAGTGCAGTGGGTAAGGGTTGTAGTTTTCAGGGCTGGGTGGTGAAGCTACAGGTGTTGGAGGCAGCTGGTGGCGATAAGAACCTGGATGTTGAGGAAAGTGGGTTGGAGGTGACATGGGGGTACAAGGGAAAGAGTTTGGGGACAAGGGCTGCAGTGGGGGGCAGGCACACTAGTCCTCCGCCCGCATGGCTAGGAGCGCCTGGATCGAGTCCGCTTGGCGCTCCATGAAGCTTACCAGCTGATCCGGGCTTTGCTGCCGGAACCCCGCGCTTTTGTGCCGGCGCACCTCATTCTGCTGGCAGATCCTCCTTTCACTCTCCCTCCACTCCTTTTAGATTCTCGTTAAGTGACTGCTGCATTACTTCATGCAGCATGTCGTCTTTGCTTTACGTGGCCTCTTCCTAATTCTTTGCAGTCTTTCGGCTGGTGATAACACAGACGCCTGAGAGCTCAAGGTTGCATCTGTAAAGGCAAAATGCAACACTTAACAGAGGCAGCATTGTTCACACCAGACAGAGCAATGATTCCCCCATACTTAAGGGCAAGCACAGTCTACACAAAAGCATAATTTGCCCATCCCAAAGCGAGCCCACATAACCCACGGGAGCCCCAAAATGGTGAGTAAGCACAGGGTCAAGGGGGACTGATTGTTTCATGGCTGTACTGTCCTCTGGGTTTCTGTGCCTTGGGGAGAGCCAACAGCTGAAAAGGACCCCTATTCTGAACACTGTCCCCACATTTTCCACAGGAGTTCATCCTGGAAGATATCTCGCTGCTGAGGGTGACCTGGGAAGCAAGGGAGGATCTTCTACTACAATGCGGCTTCCACCCTGGCCCATATGCAGCTTGCCTGTGGGCAGCAATGGTCCCCCCACCCCTCACAGCACAGTGGCACAGACATGTTAGCCTGACTGGGACAAGGACCACAGTGGCTCTCCCAAGAAACGTGTGCAAGAGCATTGCCCAGCTTCTGGATGAGATCTTTGAAGAGAACACTGAGGCCAATTAACGCAATGTGAGAAAGCACATCAACGCCCTATTCCGCATCTAGGCATGCATGCAGCCCTAACCCTCCTCACCCCAAGAGCCCACACCGAATAACTTCCTTCCCAAAATAAAAGCCGCTTACCGGGAACCTCCTCTGGTGTTTGTCCTTCCCCAAGCACCAGCCGCCGCAACTGGCTACCTTCCTCCTGGCTTGAGAACAGCTCCTGGCTGCATGCATCTAGGTCTTCCTCCTTCTCAGCGCCCTCGCTCTCGCTTTCCTCCTCCTCCTCCTGCCTTGTTGAACTGGGCTCTTAAGTGTCCATGGTGGTCCTTGGAGTGGAGGTGGGGTCGCCCCCAAGTATTGCATGCAGCTCTTTGTAGAAATGGCAGGTTGCGGGGGCACCACCGGAGCAGCGGTTTGCCTCGCGGGCTTTGCGGAAGGCATTTTGCAGCTCCTTCACTTTAACCCTGCACTGCAGTGCGTCCCAGTCATGGCCCCTTTCCATCATGTCCCTTGATATCTGCCCAGAGGTATCGTAATTCCTACGACTGGACCGCAGCTGTGACTGGACAGTTCCGTCCCCCAAACACTGATGGGGTCCAGCACCTTGCCATTGCTCCATACTGGAGATCGCCTGGCGCGTGGAGGCATGGCCACCTGGAAAGATTCGCTGAGAGCACTCCATGTCTGGCAGAGCAAACAGGAAGGGGATTTTCAAAATTCCCAGAGAATTTAAAGGGCAGGTCTGACGGTTGGTCACCTGAGGGCAGGGCTGTAGAGTTCAAAGTGATGACCAAAGTGGCTAGAATAGGCATTGTGGGACACTTCTGGAGGCTAATCAGAGCGCATTAACAGACCAGGGTGTCCACACTGGCGCTGCGGCACTCCAGCAGGGGCGCATCAAACGTTATTCCACTCGCTGAGGTGGAGTACCAGGAGCGCTCTAGCCGTGGAGTCCGGACGCTCTACATGCCTTGCCAGTGTGGACACGTTGTGAGTTAGAGCGCACAGGGCTGCTTTAATGCATTCTAACTCACAAGTGTTGCCATGCCCTAAGTCAATGGCATAAAGTTGGCAACTGAAGCCATGGGTGGATTAGGTAGATGAGTGGATAAGTTGGAAAGGATGTGGAGAGAGATAAGAGGAGTGGGCCAAGGATGGATCCCTATGAGATCACCCTGGAAAGTGGGAGGGCTGAGTGGAGAAATAAAGAAGGATGAGAATCAAGTAGAGGTTCTGAGGTTTAGCCATGCTGCAGTTGTTAGCAATCTTGATGACAGCAGTTTTAGTGGAGTGGAGAGGGTAGAAGCCAGATTGGAGGGGATCAGAGATGTGAATAGAAAAGAAGAACTCAAAGAAACAGTTGAAGGTGGAGTATCTGACAAGGTTAGAGATGAGGGAAGTCAGTAACTGAAGTGGCTGAAAAGGCAAGACGGGTCATAGGTGGTTTTTGAGTTTGGGAGAGAACACAGCATGCTTGTATTGTGAGGGCAAAGAGCTAGAAGAGAGAGGTTAAGGAAAAGTTGAAGGAGGGAGTGAGAGTAAGTGCAAAGGAGATCATGAGACAACAGGAAACAGGGTAACTGAGACAGGTTGATAGATCAGAGGAGAGCAGGTGAGAAACCTCAAAATTGTTAAGTGAAGAGAAGGAAACGGTTGTTGCCCCTTTGGCTGAGTGGTAACCAAAATTCAGAGCTTTGCTGGATGGTTTCCATTTGTATGGGATATCAGTGAGATGTACTCAAGATATTTTCTTAGTGCAATTTATTTATTTTTTACAAAAATGTACACCAGTCCTGTTTCCTTGAACAGCATCAGGAACAAACTGCACACAGACAGTCCTCTTTTGCAGAAATCCTAGATAAGGCACTCCAACCCTCCTTCTAAGAAACATCTACCTTTTTGCCTTTTCTCTCCAGAGACCCACAGAGACTCCTTCTGTTTGCTCACTCCAACTGCATTCTTCCAGTCTCCAGCCTCTGTGTTTGGAACCTAGAATATCCCATTAGCTCCATGCTCCTCCATTTTGGCCATCTGCCTCCAAAAGTGAGACTGGGCCATTAACCTCACAATATCTCCTAACAACACTCTGGGTGGTTACCTGCATTGCATCCACTATTTCTATAGTTTCTCCTTGAGTGGCTACCTCAATGATTCTTAATAGGAAAGGCCTTATATAACAAAGTACAATGGAAGAGAAGGAGGATAGAGGTCATGACAGATCTTGTCAATTGTACTGAAAAGATCAGCAAGATGTTGCACATGCAGTGGAAAATATATTGCTAATTATAAGGATAGTTAAGCACTGGAATAGTCTTCCAAAGCAGGTTGTGGAATTCCCATCACTGGAGGTTTTTAAAAACAGGTTAGACAAACAACTGTCAGGGATGGTCTAGGTATATTGGATCCTGCCTCAGCACAGTGGGATGGACTAGATGACCTCTCAAAATCCATTGGTTCTGTGAAACACAGGAGGGAAGAGTTATAGGAAAATGTCGAAGGTGGCAAACAGGTCCTGAGATTGTGAGTATATGATTCATGAGGTTTTCAAAAGTAGTGCTGCTTGACCAAGAAAATGGCAGAACTAGGTCCTGATCCAAAGCCCACTCTTGTCAATGGGTTTAGTATCAGGCTCTAAATGAAGAGAGAACAAATTTGTAAATCGAGGAAGTCCACATGATCATGGAAGTTTCTCCACAAGCATTCAGCAATGCAGTAGAGGAAGCAGATGTAGATTATTGCAACAGATTTTGTGGTGGAAGGAGTTAAGGGTAGTGGAGAGATTAAAGAACAGGAATTCAATGACTGAACCAATGAAGGAGATGGAGAATAGTTTTAGGAAGAGGAGGCAGGGAAGTCATTAACATCGATGGATTGGAGGCCATGGAAAGTTTAGGTGGAGGGATGTGGACTAGGAAACAAGTGTGCAATGATGAAGAAAATGGTGTGGGTTGTCAGAGATAGGGAACATGGTGATACAAAGATCAGAGACAGAGCAGTGCTTAATAAAGACAGAGGTTAAACTTACATTAAAACGAAGAACAGGAGGACTTGTGGCACCTTAGAGACTAACAAATTTATTAGAGCATAAGCTTTCGTGGACTACAGCCCACTT